GACAACTAACCAATGCCCAGGAAGTCACCAAATTAGGCATATCATCTGACCCAGCTATACCAAAGAAATTGAAAAAAGAGGAAAAGGATCCATCTGTACAAAAATATTTATAGCAGCCCTTTTCATGTTAGTCCAAAATTGGAAACTAAAGGAACTGTTTTACTATTGGGGAATGGATAAACAAATGGTGCTACATGAATATAATGGAATATCATTGTGCCATAAATAATGAAATGGACAGTTTGAGGGGAAGCTGGGAAGGCCTTTATGAACTGACACAGAGCAAGGTGAGCAGAACCAAGAACATTTTACACAATGATAACATCACATAGAAAAACAACTTTGAAAGACTCCAGAACTCTGATCAATGCAATGATAAACCACAAGTCTGAAAGAGCAAAGACAAAACATGACACTCCCCTCCCAAGAGGTGATGAACCAAAAACACTAAAAGAAATATATTTTCTGGCATGGCTAATGTTGGAATTCACTTTCCTGGACTATGTAGATAGGTACTGAAGGATTGTTTATTAAGTCCTTAAAAAAAATTGCTCAAAGTTAGGATATGGTGGTGGGAGGGACAGATTTTTAAAAGTGTTTGTTACTCAAAAATGTTTAAATAACAATTACAAAATGAAGACAAAAGCAGCAATATATTTCTAGTCTACAAAACCAGCCCAGAAATTCTGCCTGCTTTTAGCTATTGTTGGAAGGTGAATTCACAGTAGAAAAGAACATGACGCCCTCTTCAGGGTTACTGCTCACAGATGCTTTCTTCCTGACCCAACAGCTTAGTTGTCCCGCCTTCCTTATGAAATAACCAAGAACTACACAGAAAGGGGAAAGAATCTCACAGGAAGATAGATCCTCCAGGGAACCCAATCAAAGAAAAGATTCTGTTGATATTCTTGGAGCAATAAGCTAAGAAAGCCAATCTTGGCTTAATAATACACAAAGGACAAAAAAAAAATGGTTGAACACTAAGACATGTGCTTCAATATGGAGCCCACTGAGTTCATCCATCAGTACATATACACATACCAACACCAACTGCTGACCAATGGACACCAACAGGCAGGTAGGTCAGGAGTTCCAGGGACATCAGCATGGCCCAGACCATAGGCCTTGCTTCCAGCCCAGACCTCCATCATCCAGGGAAATAGCCCCTGTGGAGAAGGGGCCAGGCAACCCCACCAATTGCTGACCAGCTGTTACCTGGATGATACATTTCCTCTTCTGAGTAGTACATAGTAGACATATTCTGCTATGTTTTTCTTTTATGCAGCTACTGGGCCTATACATTATTTCTAGGCACTATATTGGCAAAGTAGGCCCAAGGTCTCTATGAGACTATAATCTCCATAATATGCAGAAATAGCAAACAGCAGCTAGCCCTTCGTCCAGTCATTTTATTCTCACTGATGGCATCTTTCCTTCACCTGTGTTCCAGGAACAAGTGTGATCAGCTTAGCTACCTACCTCCCCCTGCACCCTACCAGCCCCTTTGGAAGATCTGCTGTGGACCAGTCTGAGCTGAAACAGGGTTGATGCTATGTTCTACCCAGTCCTGTTCTCTATAACAATAATGATGATGACGATGATGATAGCATTTTTATAGTGCTTTAAAGTTTGCAAAGAAAAAAATTAAAAAAAAAAAGTTTGCAAAGTACATTTCACATTATTAATTTCATCCTCACAGCAACCCTGTGAAGTAGGTAGTATACTATCATCCCCATTTTACAGATGAGGAGACTGAAAGATTTAGTGACTTGTCTAGGGTCACACAGCTAGTGTCTGAGGCAAGATTCAAACTCAAGTCTTTCCTACTCTAGATCTAGCATTCTGTCCACTGACCCACCCAGCTGCCTGGCCAAGTCCATCTGGCAAGGAGCTAAGAAGTACTGCAGGCCAGGTGGACAGCGCTATCACAGTGACTTCTGTGGTGCAACAGAAAGCGCTCTTTTTTTTAACATGTGTTTTTTAAACTTGGGGTTCCAAATTTTCTCCCTTCCTCCCTCCTCACCCACCCTCATTGATAAGGCAAGCAACTAAATATAGGTTATATATGTACAGTTATGCAAAACACTTCCATAGTAGACATGCTGTGAAAAACTAACTCTATTTCCCTTAATCCTATCCTGCCCTCCCCCATTTATTCTATTCTTTCTTTTGACCCTGTCTCTCCTCAGAATTACTTGCTTCTGATTACCCCCTTTCTCAATCTGCCCTCCTCTCTATCATCCCCCTACTCTCTTCTCCCCTCCCCCCCATTTTCCTGTAGGGTAAGACAGATTTCCATACCAATTGAGTGTGTATGTTATTCCCTCCCTAAGTCAAATCCTATGAGAATAATATTCACTCATTTCCTCTCACCTTCCCCCGTTTCTCCTCCACTGTAAGAGTCTTTTCTTTTCTGTTTTTTTGTGAGATAATTTACCCCATTCTACCTTTCCCTTTCTCCTTCTCCTAGTATAATCCTCTCTCACCCCTTAATTTTATTCTCCAGATATGACTCGTTCATCTTCAACACACCCTGTGCCCTCTATCTATCTATCCATCCATCTATCTATCTATCTATCTATTTATATATACATACATATAATTTTTTCCAACTACCCTAATACTGACAAAGGTCTCATGAGTTACAAATATCATCTTTCCATGCAGGAATGTAAACAGTTTAGCCTTAATAAGTCTCTTATGATTTCTCTTTCCTGTTTACCTCTTCATGTTCCACTTGAGTCTTGTATTGGAAAGTCAAATTTTCTATTCAGCTCTGGTCTTTTCATCAAGAATGCTTGAAAATCCTCTATTTCACTGAATGTCCAGTTTTTCCCCTGAAGAATTACACTCAGCTTTGCTGAGTAGGTGATTCTTGGTTGTAATCCTATCTCCTTTGCCCTCTGGCTTATATTCCATGCCCTGCAGTCCCTTAATGTAGAAGCTGCTAAATCTTGTGTTATCCTGACTGTGTTTCCACAATACTTGAATTGTTTCTTTCTGGCTGCTTGTAATATTTTCTCCCTGATCTGAGAACTCTGGAATTTGGCTACAATATTCCAAGGAGTTTTCCTTTGGGGATCTCTTTCAGGAGTAGATCAGTGGATTCTTTCAATTTCTATTTTGCCCTCTGGTTCTAAAATATCAGAGCAGTTTTCCTTGATAATTTCTTGAAATATGATTTCTAGGCTCTTTTTTTGATCATGGCTTTCAGATAGTCCAATAATTTTTAAATTCTCTCTCCTGGATCTATTTTCCAGGTCAGTTGTTTTTCCAATGAGATATTTTACATTGTCTTCTAATTTTTCATTCTTTTGGATTTGTTTTACAGTGTCTTGATTTCTCATAAAGTCACTAGCTTCCAATTGCTCTATTCTAATTTTTAAGGAAGTATTTTCTTCAGTAATCTTTTAGACTTCCTTTTCCATTTGTCCAATTTTGCTCTTTAGGGCATTCATCTCTTCATTGGCTTTTTGGACCTCTTTTGCCATTTGGGTTGGGCTATTTTTTAAGGTGTTATTTTCTTCAGTATTTTTTTGGGTCTCCTTTAGCAAGCTAACTTGCTTTTCATGATTTTCTTGCATCACTCTCATTTCTCTTGCCAGTTTTTCCTCTACTTTTCTTACTTGCTTCTCAAAATCCCTTTTGAGCTCTTCCAGGGCTTGGGACTGATTCATATTTTTCTTGGAAGTTTTGGATGTAGGAGCTTTGACTTTGTTTTCTTCTTCTGGTTGTATGTTTTGATCTTCTTTGTCACCAAAGTAAGATAATATAGTCTCTTTTTGTGCTGCTTGCTCATGATCCCAACCAATTACTTGAATTTTAAACTGTTAAGGTAAGAGTCTGTTTCCAATGTGGAGAATGTACTGTCCCAAGCTTCGGGGGTTTGTACAGCTGTTTTCAGAGATACTTCTAGGGACCTGAAAAGTGTCAGTTCTTCCAAAGTGCTATGATAAAGGCGAGGTGTTTCCACAGGCACAAGCTCTACCGCACCAGTGTTCCTCCTTGCCCCAGGACCGCCCCTCAGATCCAAGCACAGGCAAAGCAAGAGATTCCTGCCTCAGCCCTGGCAGAGAGATCCTTGCAATCCCCCTCTGATTAGCCATTGGATTCCCTCTCAGTCTGTGGACCGGAAGCTCAGAAGCCAGCCGCTACCCTCGGGGTGACTGAGATGTAGCTTCTTCTCTCACTGCAGTAACAGACTTTTCCCACTGACCTTCTAAGTTGTCTTTGGTGTTCGTGGGTTGAGAAGTCTGGAAACCGCCACAGCTGCCAGTGATTCAGATCTCTGAGGCCTGCTCCAGGGTTGCTGCAGCCTGCGCGCCCCCACCAAACTGAGCTCCTCTCCCCGCCCGGCATGATATACCTTTCCAATCAGCCATGCAGGTTGTCTTGGGCTGAAAATTTGTTTTACTGTTTTTTTGTGGGTTCTGCTGCTTTAGAATTTGTTTAGAGCCATTTTTTGTAGGCATTCGGAGGGGTTTAGGGGAGAGCTCTAGCAAGTCACTGCTTTCCCCCCACCATCTTGGCTCCCTGCACTCAGAAAGCCGTCTTGATGATTTGTTTACTTTGCCAATCATCTACCTCCTGGATACATCTAGAAATATGTTCTTGCTAAAAAAATGATATTTTTAATGTTAAAAACAGAGCTTATTTTCACAAGGTGAAATTATGTATGTTCTTCCTAAAATAGAGCAGGAAATGGAACTGAACATCATTCAGTTCACCATCCCCTCCCTTCCATGCAGGCCTGATAGGTCAATGTCATCCATTTAGACCTCTAGTGATAAGCATAGCAGGCCATTAAAAGTTATTTCAAAGCTCTTCCTTTCATTACGCTAAAGCCTGGCACCTAGTTAATATTTGTCACTTCTCCAGAAATGCTTCCCCTCTCCAATCTTTGCGTTCCCATTTTACAGTCCCATCTTAGTGTCAAAATTAACCATCTTCAATATCTCCCTTATTTATGGTGAAAGGACAGAGCTTGAGGGAGTTTTCAATTGAATTTTGTAAAAATCAGAATCAGGTTTATTTGGATACTTAATTACACAGGGTTACACTGAACTCACACGAGTCTCACATGCTTTAAAAAGGGGGCTTCTGATTGGAGCACTTCTGAGAACACTCAGAATTTAAAACTCAGCTTGCCAGCAAATTAAATAACACACTGAGAATTCCATATACAGTAGTAGCGAAGAATTCCATTCATTCAAACAATAGCTGTGCTGTCTTCACATGGGATATTTACTTCTCCTGAAGAACACAACATATTTGAGTCTTTTCTGTTGGCCCTTTGATGCCTCAATTCAGCTGCAAGAGGGAGAAGACAGCTCAGGATGCAGCTCTCTTTAAGTTTGCCCAAACTGACTTTTTCAGTCCCTGACTCATCTTGACTTCATCCCAGTCTAATTTGGTGTCTGGCACTTCATCCTCGGGCTCAGGCTCTTTTCTAACTGCTCCTTGAGGAGAGGCCACCACGATGGGCAGAGGGCCACATTCTTCCCGGAACTCGACGACATGAAGGCTTTGCTTCTCTGCCAGCTGCTGATGAGTTTCCTATGCAAAACAAAAAGGGAGAGAAAGAAAAAGTCAAGAAGGCTGAAACTGTGAAGGACTTAAATATGAACAGGCCAATTTTGTTACTAGTGAAGTATTAAATTTCATGTCCTCAAAAGAAACTGTAATAAAAGTTTATCATTTCATATGCAATCTTTTTTGTTCTTTGTATACTGAAAGATTCATGTTTGTTGATAATTAAGTTACTAAGAAAAAAGAATATAGGAGTAGCTAGGTGGTGCAGTGGATAGAGCACTGGCCCTGGAGTCAGGAGGATCTGAGTTCAAATCTGTCCTCAGACACATAACACTCACTAGCTGTGTGACTCTAGGCAAGTCACTTAACCCCAACTGCCTCACCAAAAAAAAAAAAAAGAGAGAGAGAACATAAATATTCAGGTGAAGGAAGCTTCCACAAACAAGATGAAACTCAGCAGTTAAGTATCACTACAATATTGTAAGGTACCCTGTTTTTCACTACAATGAAATCTTCTTGACTTTGGGGCATCCTTCTGGCCTGGATGCATGCTAGATGGGCAAGGTGAGCTATGCTAAAGACTAGGAAATGAGGAGGGGAGAGAGTGTTTGTGCATCTGGTGCTGACACGTGTCTGACGCAAACTCTGTTAATTTGGTATTAAGGCTTCATCCCTCCACTGCCCTGGCATGTTGTGGTAATTTTGTTAAAAAATACAAACAAAAACACAAACCAAAACAGAAAGGATAGCCACAGTGACTAAAAAGTCAACAACAAAAATAATGCTTTTACCATTAAAGTCCTTGTCTCTGTCAAATGGTTCAATATCAAAAAATGGATATGGTTTTGCTAACGACAATGATATGAAAGATGCACTGCCATCTGCTTTACCAGCACACCCGAAGGACCACTGAGCCCTGAGTTGCAGCTGAAATTTCCTGTATATACTGTCTCCCCCGTTAGCATGTGAGTTCCATGAGAGCAGGGATTGCCTTGCTTTTCTAACTACAGCATTTAGCACAGGCCTCTGGACATAGCAAGCAATTAATAAATGTTTTCTCATTCATTCATTCATTCCTAGCAATTGCTCAATAAATATCTGCTAAACTGAATTAAACGAACTGTCATGATGTAGTTTCCCAATCAACAGATACAAATAGTACAACTACTATTGTGGGAGATGTAAGAAAGTTTTTGATGTTAATAATACCAGCTAACATTTATCTTTAAGGTTTACAAAGAAGCCCTTTACAAACACCATCTCATTTGATTCTCATAAACCCATGAATGTAGGTGCTATTATTATTCCCATTTTACAGACAGGGAAACGGGCTGCAAGGTTAAACAATTTGCTTAGCTAGTGAGTATCTGAAGTAGGATTCACATTTTCCTGACTGGCAGAATACTGCAGTGGGAAGGTCTCTGGATTTCAAGTCAAAAGCCCTAGATTAGAAGTCCACCTCTGCTGCCTACTAGCTGCATTTCCAAGAGTTAAGTCACAACCTCAGTGGATCTCAATTTCCTTATCTGAAAAATGGGAACAATAATGCACTATCTACCTCACTACATCTTTGTGAACATCAAATGGCATGGTGGGCCCTGGGGCTGCACAAGCCCCAAATCACCATATATAGACATGTTGGACTTAGAGACAAAAAGATGTAAAATCAAATCCTAGCTAAGAGAATAGCTGGGAAAATCACTATCATCACTGAGTTCCAGTTGCTTCATCTGCAAAACAAGAATAATTATAGAATTTACCATACAGAGTTAGGCTCAGGTTCAAATGAGAACATATTCAAAATGACTGAAAACTTGTCTGTGTTAGTTACTGTTGTCATTAAGTGTTCAGTGGTGACTTTTCTCATTTTCAGTGAAATGTGGCCTCAGGAAGATAACAGGGACATTTGATTTCTTTAAAAGATATAGATAATTGCACTCCAGAAATCACAGAAAAATAAAGCAGCACTAATACTTGTAACTTATGTGCAGAACTACCAAGAGCGGCAAGTCCTCAGCTGGGTCTCTCAGGTCTAGAGGTCAAGCAGCATTTTAAAAAAATACACAGTAGAAGGTCAATCTAGCAACTTCAAGACTGCCGGAAAGGTTGTGTTGTTTGTATTTGCTGATGATTTGTTAAAATTCATAACAACAACAAAAAAGAATTTTTAAGTACACACACACACAAACGCACACGCGTGAGCATGCACACATGCACACAGAAGATAATGAATTTTTAAGAGTAGAGACTCTCTTTACAAGGTTTGCTGGAGAAGTCCAAAGACTCACTTACAGTTGCTAAAACTCAATGGAACAGGCTTCCCCAGTAAACAATTTAATAAGCTAACACGTAGATAAGAGTCACAAGGACCAGTTTTACTATGTAAAGTAACGCTGGCTTCTTTTTCTTGTACTTGCAAGTTATACTAAAGTAAGAGGAAAATGAAAGCCTGGCCAAAAGGATCTGGGAGATTTTTCCTTGTGCAGCAAATACCCACAGCTCACCCCAAAAGAAAAGAAACCTCCCTCAAAGGGCAAACCCTACATCAGGCCTGCACAAGCTATAGCTTGTGGGCCACTTGCAGCACGCCAAAGGATTTTGGGTGGCCCCCGAAAAAGGAAGAGGAAAACATCCTCTATATTTTTTGCAATCCACCCAAAATCCTTTGGCAGGCCCCAGGTTGTGCAGGCTTGCTCTATGGTAAGTATTTTGTGACTACTCCTAAAAAGCATCTATGTAGGTCTATCTGTATGCATGTGACTATTTGACACTCCAGTACATAGTATTAGGCTGAAAACACAAGACTATTTTAAATAACTGTAAATACACAGGAATATTTTGACTTGTAATTTTTATTTCGGTTCAGCCCAGTGAAGGGTTACCATTGGCATAGCGGTCTCCCAAAGAGGAAACTGTCTCTCTCCTTATCAGAAGGACAACTGTCCTTCTTGTAGAATAGAAGAGAGTGAGGGGGCGGGGTGGTTATCAACTAAGTGACTGGGCCAGGGCCACACTGTGTGTATCAGAGGATGGGATCTGGAGGCAAGTCTTCCTGACTCCAAAATCAGCTCTCCATCCACTAGACCAAGCTGCCTATCCACTTGTAACTAAGGTTATAAAGACCTTCTTATAAGGTAATAGCACTTTGCTCTAGAAGGGAACCCAAAAACCATGCAGTCTAACCCTCTCGTTTTACAGATGAGAAAACAAAGTCCAGAGAAGTTTAGTGATCTGTCCAAGGCTGAATCATAGTAGTATCACTATTGCTGTGTTTGTTAGCAATCTGCTGGCCAGAACTGTGGTAACAAATAGACAGAGGATGACATATACAGCTTTGAGCTAAGTGTAAAACGCTCATTTTAGTGTTAAAATCAATATGTACTGATCGGTTTGTTTTTACTTTACCAAGAATTGCCCCTCTATCTCCCAAAAAGTGACCTCTCATAACAAAACAACTGACTGCCGTTTCACTTGAAAGCTTTGGTCAATTCAGTTTAATCAAGGGAAATAACTACTTTAGTATAACATTTAACTGAATATTCACTTCAAAAATGCCAATAATGGCAGCTAAACATTACAACTTCACTGAATGATACTGAAAACAATGAATACAATCCAAATTTTTCAAATCATATTAATATCATTTGCAATATCTACCTGTTTTGATAATGCATGGAAGACTCCTCTGGTTATATTAATTAAATTGACAGATCCAGTAACCTTTGCATACATATCTTTAATTCCAATTAGTTTACAAATTGTAATAATGGCTCGATGACAACGAAGACCATGACCTGGAAAACAAGAGAAAATAACAAAACATTTACACAAAAAATGGTATGTCTCTACATAAAATTGAAAAGCTTTTACAAAAACAAAAGCAATGAAGTCAGAATCAGAAGGGAAAAAATTGATGAGGGGAAAAAATCTTTGCGGCAAATTTCTCTAATAAAGGTCTGATAGCCAAGATATACAGGGAATTGATACAAATATCTGAGAACAAGAGCCATGCTCTAATAGGGTCAAAGGCTACAAACAGGCAATTATCAAAGGAAGGAAATCAAGCCATCAACAAGCATATGAAAAATTATCCAAATCACTAATAATGAGAGAAATGCAAATCAAACAACTCTGAGATTCCATATGATAAAAAGGGGAAATGACAGTATTGGAGGGGCTGTGGGAAAACAGGTAGTTTCATATAAAATCTTGTTCTCCCATTATACCACATATATGCAAACACTCATTTTGTTTGGTGTTTTTCAAATTCAGAATTGAAAAAATACATATTTTTTTAAAAGAACTGCTATGTAAGATAGTCACATTCTAAGGGACAAGTACATTTTTATGCCTGAGAGAGAGTGAAGAATGTTGGTTTCATTTATTTTTTAATTCCATGTTTCTTCTTTGAGGAAATGTGAGGTCGTCAGAAAATGTTCTGTGGGCTGTTAATTTTTTTAAACCTTATTTCAAATTGGATTAGATTTTCCAGGATGATTCTCATGGATGTAAAATAGAAAGCATGCTATAGGGAATAGGTTACAGAGGTCCAAATACCTGCTTTGAAGTGACTAAACATGTATTTGCCTGAATCTAGTAGGTTTCTACATTTTATCAGGTTTACTAGACAACTGTTTCCTCACTGTTTCAAGTTCACATGTGGCAAAGACAAACTCTAATGTAATTAGAGTTAGAAATTACCATTTCTACTTCCCAGGTAACCTGGAGCCTGAAGAACCATGAAAAAATTTTTGTAATTTTCTTTTTAACATATAATTAGTTGTGTCAATAACACTAAGAACAAATTGATTTTTCCTATCAAGTAGGGGGTATCATGATCCAAAATGGCCTTCATAATTCATGAAATTTCTACAGAGAAACAAAGAACTCCTCTCAAAGCCTCCATTCAAAAAGGGCTCCCAGAGTAGCCAAACTCTTCATTTCCCACCAGAGGCATTCAGGAACTTGGACTCTTACCATTCTATGCTCCCCGCCCCCACTTTTCAAATTTCTTTTGTTTGTGGCCTTCCCTCATTAGACTAAAAGCTCCTCAGGGCAAGGACTGTCTTTCTGATTTGTATCCCAATTGCTTAGCACAATGTTTAACACAGAACAGGCACTTGATGTTTACTGACTGATTAATAGGACTAAAATCTGTAATTGGTCGATGCTATCTCCAAGGAGTTCAGTAGGATTTCCTACCACTGCTCCCAAGACTGCTGTAGAGGGCAGCACTAGCAGCCAGTGTGGTGTAGTCAGCTAAGCTGCGCCAGTTTTAGGGTTCTATTCATTCATATGCTCTAAAGGCAGAAAGCGGCTTTGGGAAAAGGCACCATAATACAGTGGCAAAGGCAGTGGACTTAGAGTTAAGAGGGTGGAGGTTCAAATCCTGGTCCTATTTACTACCTGTGTGGCAAGTCCCTTAATCCCTCATCAGTTTCCTCATCTGTAAAATAAGAGAGCTGAACTAAGTATCCTCTAAGGTACCTTGAAACTCCAAATTTATGATTGAAATAGAAAAGATAGCAAAGCTTCAGAAATGAAATATTTTAGGCTACAAATGAAACTGTAACATTCAAATATATAAAGGACTAAATCTTAAAGTCCAGATATAAAAAAATTTTTTTTAAATGACAAAATAAATGGTTTTTGTGGGGTACAGTTTTTTTAAAATTATAATTTAAAAGGTGTAATTAAGGCAATAAAGCACATTCTACTTTAATTATTTTCCATTTCTTTAATGAAACTGCTCCGAGTTATATAATCCATAAAGTATTGCTTTACTAATGCACCACTTACTAAAAGCCTTCAGGATTTATATATCAACATTAAGATGAAAAAACGTCCTTCCCTGACACCAGTCACACCTCTTTGAAAGCTGCTGTAGCTAAAACATGAGTCACTGTGACCAACCTGGTGATGAACTTTAGTTCTTACATAACAGGCCGGAGTCTTGTCACCTGGACCCTCGGCAGCGATGCCCTCTACTCTGAAGGCCTTTGATAACTTGGGGTCATTCAAAGTCACAGAAAGCAGTGAAGTCGGGGATGGACCTCCACTTCCTACCATCCCAAGCTCATCTATCCATTTAACTGTTGTCTCTACTTCTGTACATGTTCTCAGACCTTAACTTAGAATTATATCTTTAATATTTTCACATTGACTGATTGGCAGTGATGGCTCTACACAGTAATCCATAGCTTGAAATTATCCTTCATTATCTTCAAAGTCTCATCCGTTCTTATTTTTGATATCACGTGTGTTGTTGGGGGTTGTTGTTGTTGCTGGTTTTTGGGGGGTGGGAGGTTGAGAAGAGGAGGAACTTGGGTTCTATCAAAATTTATCCCAAATTGGCCCCAGGCAACACTGTACAACTCAGGGTGGCTATTTCATTTCCAAGGACCTCCATTTTACCCCCCCGGAAGTCAGTCATTTCTTAAATACCTCTGGGTTGCTTCTTCATCTTAATATGTGTTTTCTTAAATGTTAAAGAAATATCATGGTAAACTAGAGGAACAAAAACAGACAGAGAGGAATTAGACACGAGTCTACTGCATCTACACCAAAGACAAAAAGTAAATGGTAGCAGTAACTTAGCCTTATAAATAATGACTTACACAATTACCCCAACTGATTAAATATTTATGAGCTAACTACTAAATGCCAATTTCTTTTATTCAGTTAACTACTACGGAAAGGAGTTAGGGAGACTGATAAATTTTGACAATTTACTTTTAAACAAAACAATATAAAAACACCTCACCAATATATACACAAATAGATTAGGATGTGAAGATGCACACCTATCTACCAAAGAAGTGCATAAAATTGCATGTGTGGGTCTGTTTAGGAAATTGCTCAGAGAAATGGATGCCACATTTGCTCGTAACTGAAAGCGATACAGGGGAGGGCATGAGATTAAAAGGGGTCCAGGAAAAAGAGGAGGATGTGCTCTTTCCATCTATCTGTCATGCTGGAGCCAATGTCCACCAAGAAACCAAAAGCACTGAAGTTTCTTCTTAGAGCTGCTGCTGCTGGGGAACAGAGTGATACACTAGGAAGAGGGCTAAACTTGGAGTTGGAGGACCTGAGTTAGAATCATGAGTCTTAGTGCATGGGGATCTTATACATAGGGCCTGATGACCTCTAAGATCCCTTTCTCTCTCAAACTATGATCACGACCTTTCTGGCCTTTTGTGGCTACTCACACACAGGAAACAGCTGTGAGAAGGAAGAAGGGAGAACCAGAAGTTTAAAATCTATCGATCGACCTCAGAGGCAGGGAGCCTGAGGCTTCAAGGCCACATATGGCCTTCTAGGTCCTTGAGTGCAACTTTTTGACTCAGTCCACGTTTTACAGAACAAATCTCTTTATTAAGGGGATTTTCTCTAAAGGGATTTGTTCTGTGAAGTTTGGATTCAGTCAAAGAGCCGAACTTGAGGACTTAAAGGGTCACGTGTGGCCTTGAGGCCACTGAGTTCCTCATCCCAGTCTACCTAATTCCTTTCTATAGTTAACTGAATTTTTTATAATCTACATTCAATGTTTATATAGGGTCAGAGTAGGAACTGGAGACTGAGGTTGGATTTTTATAGCAATGTAATGGCCCAGAAAGCAATTTGTAATGTTTCTGAGAATTTGTTACTCTGAAAAATCTAAAGTTTCCAAAAAACAATTTGTGAAAGTTCACAAATTTATCCCCAATGGAGGCAGCTACCCACCACTTTTTCACTCAAAACAAACAAAATTCAGTATTTACAAACTCAAGAACATCACTACAAGATTTCCAAAAACTACATTTTCAGATATTTCCAACAAGTTGATTTGTTTTGTTCGACTATGATGTTCAGTCATTTTAATCACGTCTGACTTTTCGTGACCCCAGGTGGGATTTTCTTGGCAATGATATTGGAGTGGTTTGCCATTTCCTTCTCCAGCTCATTTTACAGATGAGGAACCTGAGGCAAACAGTGTTAAATGACTTGCCCAGGGTCACAGCTATTAAGTGTCTGAGGCCACATTTGAACTGGACTGGAGTCAGGAAGATCAGAACTTGGCCTCTCCTGACTCCAGTCCAACTGTTCTATCTATCATACCACCCAGCTGCCCTTTAACTATACTTATTTGTTAAAAGAGTAAGTGAATGAGTTAGGGGATTGTGACAGAGATGCAAAAAAAGGAAAACTATATCAATAAAATATTACTAAATATACAGAAGAAAAAAAAGATATGAAGGGAACAGAGAAATTTTGTTACTATGCTGCTAAATGTAATGTTTTGAAAACAACCTAAGTTCACAGTTTCACATACAATTTCCTTATACATTCTTTGTATGTTAAATCATTCATTTTATTGTTATATTCATAACAGAGAAAAAGTTTTAAAGCATATAGAAAATGAATATTTAACATCTCCAGGAATTCAAATACAAGCAGATTATATCAAAAGGACAGTACCACACTGGGCAGCTAGGTGGCACAGTGGATACAGTGCTGGGCCTGAAATCAGGAAGACTCATTCTTGAGTTCAAATATGGCCTCAGACATTTACTAGCTGTGTGACCCTAGGCAAGTCATTTAACCCTGTGTGCCTCAGTTTTCTCATCTGTAAAATAAGCTGGAGAGGGAATGGCAAACCACTACACTATCTTTGCAAAAAAAACAAACAAACAAAAAACAAACAAACTCAAATGGGGTCACAAAGAGTTGGACAAAGGATAGCACTCATATTAAATAGACTGACTGCTGATCTAGATTTATGAATCTATCAACTAACAAGCATCTGTTAAATCCCTACTATGTTAAATAACTATCCTGAGCACAGCAGATACAAAGATAAAAAAAAGATAAAGGGTCCCTGCCCTCAAGCCAGTTACATTCTACCAGGGAAAACATGTACTTATATAAGTACATACAAAAGTAATCACTGAAAATACAAGGTATCTTGGGGGAGGGGGAGATAATAAGGAATGGGAAGGCACTAAGCAGCTGGAAGGCTCAGGAAAGGCCTCGTTCAAAAGGTGGCATTTGAACTGAGCTTTAAAACTAACTGGGGGTTCTAAAGAGGGGGATGATTGGGAAAGGGACCAAGCAGTTACTGAGTACCCACTATGTGCCAGTGCTAAGCATTTTCCAAATATGAAGAGGCAAAAGTGAGGAGGAAGCACGCATTCCAGAAATGAGGGGCAGTCACTACACAGACATGGAAGTGGGAGACAGAACGCTGTCTGTGGACATCAGCAAGAAAGTAAGTTTGGCTTGATTACAGAGCATGAAGGGAAGTCACATATGATCAGGCTGAAAAGACAGGCTGAAGCCAGAAGGGTTCTCATATTGTTAAGAGGGAGCCACTGAAGTTTACTGAATGGGTTCAAACATGTTTTCAGAAAATCGCTGTGGCAATGGTGTGGAGGATGCAGCAGAGAGAGGAGCATCAATTAGGAGGCTCCTGCAATGCCACAGACAAGAGTGATGAGGCTGGTAGTGTAAGTGGAGAGAAGGGGACATCCACATGAGATGCAGGAGCAGAATCGAATTGGCAAGTGACTAGCTTCTGGAGAGTCAGAAGCAGAGGATACCTCTGAGGGTGTGAGCCTGGATGACCAGAAGGATGCTTTCACCCTCCAGTAAAAGAGAGAAGTCTGGAAAAGGGGGTATGAGAGAAATGATTATTAATAACTAATGATTTAGGGAGATTCAGAGTTCCCCCCCTTTCCCTATCCTCATTTCAAGACTTCAGTCTCTGAAAGCTGAGCTAACCTTCTCCTCTATCTAACCCAACTCAACCTTATCTCTAGTCTAAGGTGAATTCCATTCAATCGAGTGGAGACAGACCCTTTTATCTAAATTGCCCAAGGCTGAGGGTGGTCTGGGTATAGAGACAGTCTCCCACAGTGAGTCCAAGGGTGACATGAAGTTACTCTCAGTCCCTCATTGGAATAAGTCCACTACTCTTTGTAAAGTCCACCTCTCATTAGTTGCTAACCAATCAGAGATGACTGCCATTCTTTTGAACACTCTTCTTCCAAAGGGCATTTAAGCCTTGAGCCCACCACCATGATTGTCTTTGGTCTAAGAAAGACCATCCTTTTATTTAAATGCTCGCATTATTAATAAAATGATTAAATTACCCAGAAATTATATCTCTCGACCCTTTGTAAACGCCACAGGTAGGTTAGGCAGAAAGATAATCAGTTCTGTTTTGGAAATGTTAAGACTGAGATGACTGTGGAACATGAAAAAAAGTCTAACAGGCAGTTGGAAATGTGGGAATGGAGATCAGGAGAGACCAGGGCTGAATATACAGATGTGGCAATCATGTGCATGAAGATGACAATTAAAATTGGGGAGGGAGGCAGAGGAAGGGAGGCAAGCAGGGGAGAAGAGACCGAGAAGGAACAGTCAGACTCTAGGAGAAGAACCAAAGGAGAACAACATGGAGAGATCTCAGAGAAGAGAGAGTGTCTAGGAAGAGAGGGTGGCCAGGAATGTCAGATGCTGCAGAGGGTCCAAAAAGGAAGAGGACAGAGAAAAAGCAATTAAGAGATCACTGGTAACTTTAGAGAACCATTTCAGCTGAGTGATGAGGCTGGAAACTATATTGCAAAGGGTTAAGAAATGAGTTGCTTCTTACTTCCTCTCTTCTCACTCATTTAAGCAGCTAAAGTATACAACTTTTTCTAGGAGCCTGACTATGAAAAGGAGAGATACAGGATGATGAAAAATCAGTCAGTCAACAAGCATTTATTAGGTACTTACTATGTGCTTGGCACTGGTACCAAGGATACAAAGTCCCTGCTTTCAAAAAGCCAAAATTCTAATTTCTTACTTGGCAATCTTGAGCAGCTGGCCAAGATATAGCAAATACTAAGTACATGGTAGGCATTCAATAGATATATAGTACTAACCATTCCAATGATATTAACTAAAAGAGGATTCTACCTCAACAATAACGTCAAACAAGAAATCTTATCTAATAATTGCACATAATCCTGCATAATCTTTATAATTATAACGTATAGGTACTAAAGGTTAGTAATACATACTTGTGTGGTCTTCATATCTTTCTATATAATGCAAATAATGAATTGCTCTATTCTTTGCCTAAAAGAGAACAAGGAAAAAAATTAAATTTTGTTATAATTTCTTTCCTCAAAGACATTTTTATAAATTAGCGACTTCATCTCTTTAAATGGGCTTATTACAAAATTTCTGAAACAGCTATTTATGTGATAAATATAATGACCTTTCTAGTAAGTCCACCACATAAGCCTTGCATAAAAGTTCATGGTCATTAGAGTGTCTAACTAATGTGGCTGTAATTCCGTAAGTATTCAAAAAAAAGAAGAAATCTACATACTTTTCTAAAAGCATTGACCCGATCAGGGGCTTTCCCAACAGCAAAACCTACACAAAAAAAGCAAAAACATTAATGAAGAGATACATTCTCAGCACACACAAATAGCTTTTACTTCATTCCATGGTTCAAACTATGTCATGATAATAAAACATACTATCACCAAAACACATAGAAAAAGTATTTTAAAATCAGTTTTTGATCAACATGTACAATTGAAACCTTTAATTTTTAGAAATCTCAAAATACCATAATTCTATGTTACAATTATATAAAAGGTAATAATCAAACCTTTTTTTTTTTTTAGAAAGGAGGAAATATGTGGTCTGGTAAAATAAGCTGCCTTTGTATTTAAAAATAAAAAGTACATTTTCAGGAAAATATGTAGCATGGAACACTTCCATTGCTCTTATAAGGGACAAGGACAAATAGTACTGAAGGACTGAAACCGTTAAGAAAACAGCAACTGATAAACCAGCACACTTCCCAGAGCATCGGTCACAAACGGCCATTTCCCAGCTCTGACGTGGGATCGTCACACTACACTCACCTGCTGCTCCTTTTCCATTCCCAACCACTACGAGGGCCCGCACTGACTTCTTCCTTCCTTCTTTTGCTGTCATATTAAAAACACTTCTTACCTGAAAAGCAAAAGGCTTCATGATCGCAGTGCTTGGGGACATGCCACGGTCAGCTGGTTTGAGGAGAACACTGAGAGCTAAGGATGGAGTAAACTGGGCAGAGACACGAGGCACGAAGGGCTCGAGACATTTTTTTTTTGACTCTATTTTCTGATCGTGCCTCCTCAACTGTGTACTTACAATGTCCACTTTGTTTTAGCCCAAGTATAAGACTTTACACCTACCCTTAGGGAATTTCACCTTACTAGATTCTGTCCGATGTTCTAGCCTGTCAAGAATTCTGATTCTACCATCCAATGTCACATGACAGCTCTCCCTAACAGTTTGTGTTATCAACATATCTGATCAGCAGGCTGTCTACAGTATCCTCAGGAGCTGGATGATTTATATTCAAAGCCTACCTACGAGGCTACCTGTGTGGCCTTGGGCACACAGAAAAAACTATCTATACTCATTTTTCTCTACTTCCTCTATTCTCACTAACTTCTTTCTTGTTTCCTCAAAATCTGACTTTTCAGCTTCACCACTCAACTGAAAATCCTCCCTCCAAAGTTACCCAGGATCTCTTCATTGCCAAACAGGATGACCTTTTCCTCGGTCTTCATCTTTCCTGACTTCTCTGCAATGTGACACTGCTATCTCCTCCTTAGCACTCTCTCCTCTTGGTTTTAAGTAGAACATAAATTCTCAGAGAGCAGCAGCTCTTTAACTTTCATACCTGTACCCCTAGCACCTAACCCACAGTACCTAACACACAGCAGGCACTCAGTAAACATTTGCTAATTAATTTTTGTGACACTGCTTTCTTGGTTCTCTTCCTATCTGTTGGATCTTTCCATTTCAGCCTTCTTTATTGGATCATAAAATCACAGAGAATCACAGGATTCTGGGGCTGGCAGGGACCATCCAGTTAGTCATCTAATTAGCCAAAAGAATCCCTAGAACACAACAGGTAAGTGGTCACCCAGCCTCAGCTCAAGAGAGGATCCTACCACCTCACAGACAGTCCATTCCACTTACGGACAGAGCAAGTTCTTTCTGATCTCAAGCAGAAATCAGTCTTTCTGCAGCTTCTATGCCAGGCTCTGCCCTCCAAGACCCAAAAGAACAAGTCTGATCCCCCTTCCACAAAACAGCCCTTCAAGCTCTTGAAGACAGCTACTAGGTTCCCAAAGAGGGTTCCCTTCTCCAGGCTAAATGTCCTCAGCTCTTTCAACCAATCTCTCCATGGCATGACCGTGAGGCCTTTTACTATCCTGGCTGCCTCCTTTGGTTGTTGTCAAGTCTTTCTTAAACATCGGTTCCTCAAACTGAACACAGTCCTCCTCAAATGGTCTGGGCAATCAGTACGGGGGCCTGTCACAGCCTCTCTGCTCCCATAAGTTCTGCCTCTCTTAATGCAGACAAGATCACATTAGCTTTTTCAGTCTGCAACCTCCCCCTGACTCATACTGCATCTGCAGTCCACTAAAATCCCCCGGGGTTTTTTCTGACAAACTGCTATCTAACCACCTTTCCTCTCCTATCTTATACCTGACTTACAGGTTTCCCCCTCCAGCACCAGCCAAACTGGCCTTCTCTGATCCTCACACAGGATACTCTATCTCCCACCTCTGTGCCTTTGCCAAGGTCATCCTCCATGCCTGGAACACACTCCCGTCTCACCTGATGCACAGAATCCCTCTCTTCCTTTAACACTCAGCTCAAGGACCACCTTTTACACAAAGCTTTTCTTGACCCTCACCCAACTGTTAGTGCCCTTTCTCCCAAACTGCTCTGTACTATTTGTATTTAAGATCTTTCTATTTATTGTATGTATGTATTTATCTATGTACTTGTGATTATCTCCCCAGTTAGAATGTAAGGTCCTTGTAAGTGGGCACTGTTTCATTCTTTGTAAGACACTCTTGATAGATAGATAGATAGATAGATCTATAAATGGATGTATACATAAATATATATATATAGATAATATATAGATGTAGAAATGTATATATGTACATACATACATAGAAATGTGTATAGATGTATATATAGATCAATCTATCCACATCTATATAGATAGATATAGACAGATCTATATATAGATACATTGAGAGAGAGAGACAGAGAATCTTATTGCAATTAGTGTATCCTCTGGCCTATCAGGCACTTCTGACCTTCATGCACATCCTGCTGCCTGTGAGTGCCTCTCAAGGCTGAACTCTGGTCTCTTTTCTCTTTATACCTTAGGATAAGACCACAGATCTATGGCTGGAAGCTACCTTGGAGACCATCCAATCCAAAGCCATCATTTTACAAAAGAGGAAAATGAGGTCCAAGGAGGCCAAGTCCCTTGCCAGGGCCACAAATGTGGTGAGCACCAGAGATGGGATGTACTCAGTCCTAGCCGTCTACTGGTTATCACATCAACTCCTGCAGATTCAATGATCATCTCCACCTATGTGACTTCCCCAGTCTCTCCTGAATTCCAATCAACCACAAACTGCTTACTGGGTTATCTCCTCCAGGATGTCCCACTGGCACCACAAATTCAACATGTCTAAAACAGAACTCATTACCATTCCCTCAAAACCAATCCCTCCTCTGAATTTCCCTATTTAGGTTGAAGACACAATCATCCTTCTAGTCATCCTGATTTGCAAACTTAGTGTCATCCTTAACACTTCACTTTCCTTCACTCCTTCCCCATTATACCTAAACAGGTGCCATGTTCTATTGAATTTACTTTCACTAGATCTCTTCCATCTGTTCCTTTTCCTCTACTCACATGGCCACCTTTTGCCTAGAATGTACAATAGCCACCTAACTAATCCCCTTTCATCCAACCTCTGCCCTCTCCAAACCATCCAGTGCTATGCCTGGAGTCAGGAAGACAAGTTCAAATCTGGCCTCAGACACTTACTAGCTATATGCCTCAGTTTTTTCAACTGTAAAATTCTGAGGATAACAACAACACCTACCTTGCAAATGAGATAATATTTGTAGAGAGCTTGGCATGGTGCCTGGTAATACAAAAATTCATATTCCCTTCCTTTCTCTCTTCCTATCCTCAGCACAGCTACCAAAGTGATATTCCTAAGGTATAACCCACCACACCGCTACCTTGTCAAAGAGTTTCCTATTGCGCCAGGATCAAATGCAAACTCCTCCGGCATTACAGACTGTACAAACTAGCTTCTGCCTACCTCTAGGGACTCATTTCACATCACACCACTTCATTCAATCTGTGGGTCAGGGCAGCTGGCCTATTTAATGACCCTCATCCAAAACACCCCATCTCGCGTCTCTCTGACCTCCTGGAGGCTGCCGCCCTGCCTCTCTCCCCGTCTGCCTCTCAGACCCTCGTTTCCTTCAAAGCCCAGCCACGTCCCAGCTCTTCCACAAGGCCTTTCCTAATCCTTCTAGGGCCGACCTTCTAGCTCCAAAATAACCTTGTACATATTGTGTGTTTACTTATATATGTAAGTGTTACTTTCCCCAATTCTCCGTGAAAGCAAAAATTGGGTGATTGTACCCTCAATACTTAGCCTAGTGCCTGGCACACAGCTGGGGCTTTAAAAATGTTTGACAAATACAAGCTTACCTCAAGTATTCTGGTATCGAAATCTTCGTAAGTTTCTGTTGAGTTAAAGAAGACATTTATATAAATTTGCTTATATAGTTCATATTCTAAATCATTATTCCTACCAGGCACTTCTCTTAAAAAATGCCCATGAAGCAGGAAACAACCTGAGAGATGATCAGTAAGTTCATTTCCCATTATTGCTTGCTAATTCCCTTTTGCTTTCAAGGTCAGGTCCTTCTCCATAGGAGGCTGTTTAAAACCTCTGAAGACAGAACCCTTCTTGAAGGGCCCCATATGTACAGAAATCAAAGATTTAGAGCAGAAAGAGAGCTTGGAGGTCATGCAATTCAATTCCCCTCATTTTACAGATGAGGGATCACATAGCTTCTAAAAATCTAAGGCAGGATTCAAATCCAAGTCTTCTTGAATCACAGTTCAACACTCTATTACACTATACTGCTTCTACACAGGCACTTAGCCTCTCTTAATTGTGCCATGAACCCCTTGAGCAGGCAGCTTGAGGAAGCATGGAGACCCCATCACAGAATCATGTCTTTAAATATATAAAATAAAGTACATAGTGTGGGACAAGTAGACAAAATTACTCTCCCCAGATGAATCCCCAAGACTGACTTCAGCAAGTTTCCTGAGGTGGGCAGCTTCTATTCAGCCTCCTCACCATTGTTGTCTTAACATCCCTATCCACCCCATTACTGCACCATTAACTTCCCTGCCCTATTTGTGTGACAGAGACCTTCCCCTCCTTAAAAAATCCCTGCTTCTAGACATGCTGACTCTGTCTTGCTCTGTGTCAGTCATGTGGCTGTAAATGACCCCTAGTAAGACCAGCTGCAATAGCCCGAGTTCCTCGGTGTCTGAGTCCCGGGGACCTGGGACGTCAAAAGACGTCAAATTTCAGTTTTTGTTGTCATTTTAAAGAGACCCGAGTCATTCCCACAAAAGCCTTTCTAAATTCTAATAGGAGAGTTAAGATTTTATAAATTATCCCCTTCAGGGACTGGTGAATACTTACTGTAAACCAAAATAGTAAAATACATCCATTTACTGTACTACTTATTAACTGCACGATCTTGGACAAATAATTTAACTTCCTTAGCCTAAGTTTCATCTTTAAAATGAGGAAGTTGGAACAGATATTCTTTGAAAATTCCATTAATTAATAATATTTCTTTTAAAAAATTCTTCCAATCCTGAAATTTTGTGACATATTCCCTGGACATATACCAAGTGAAGGGAGGCAATCTATTTAACAGGGTCTATTTTAAAAGGTATTCAAAATTGGCCAAGGATGTTCAAGAATTTTCTTACTGGTGTATGAGGGTCAACAACGTAATTATTTTCTTAAAATGAACATTAATGGATTTTAAAATTTCAGAAGTAAATACATTCCTCATGTCATGAAGGTAAACATATCACATCATTACCTCCATTAGGGCCAGGATCTGGGGCTCCTAAACTGATTCCTCCCCAAGAGTTTCCAGTCCAACCTCTTTCCCGTTTAATCTTCTTTTTTCTCTTTTTGTCCCACTCGTCTCTGTGCTGGATCATTTCAGCCTGTATCTTCAACTGTTCTTCTTTGCCTCTTTGGCCAACTCCCTGAACCATCCCATGTTTCAAAACAGGGGCATTCAAACCAGGCCAGAGAAAACCAGAACGTCCTTAAGATAAGATAGAAAGAAAATTGCTTGCCTTATAAGTAAAAATCTAGATTTTTTTAAAAAACTGCTGTAGTAATCAGTCAATCAATCAGTCAAATATTTATTTATTAAGTGCCTATGTGCCAGGCATCACGTGAGGAGTTAGGGATATAAATATAAAAGATGCAATAATTCCTATTCACAAGGAGCTTACATTTTAATGGGGAAGACAACACACACACATAAAACAAACACAACATAAATAGAAAGGTTATAAATATGGATAAAGACAAGGTAATTAAATAAAGGCACCAGCAGGTGAAGGAATTAGGAAAGGCTTTGTGAAAAAGATGGTCCTTAAGTTGCATCTTCAAGGAATCATGAAACTCTGCGAGGCAAAGAAATCAAGGGATCCCTGTTAATTTTGGAGAGAGTCGTTTCAACTGAGGGACTACATCACAGACGTGGATGACAGTCAGTGCAAAGAGGGAGAGGAGCTATTGAGTGTCTTGGAGAAGAACAGCAAGAAGGCCAATTTTACTGGATCCCAGAGAGCAGGAAGGAGAGCAATAGCCAGTGAGGCTGGAAAGACAAGTTGGGGCATGGCTGTATATATAGCTTGTACAGAGCCTTAAAAGCTGAACAGAAGGGCTCATATTTTACCCTGATACAACTGGAAGTCACTGGAATTGTTTGAGTAGGGCAGCGACATGATCATAACTGCATTTAAGAAAAATGGCTTTGGCAGCAAATGTGAAAGATGGACTGGGGTGAGGGGAGACTTGAGGCACAGAGACAAATGCGAAGGCTATTTCAATAGCCTAGTGAGAGGTGATATGGGCTGTGAAAGTGTAGAGAAGGCGTCAGATATGAGAGATGTTACGAAGGCAGGAATGGCTATATAAGTTAAGGGAAGATGAGGAGTCCAAAATAATATAAAGGCTATGAACCTGCAAGACTGGAATAGAGAAGTCTGGAAGAGGAACAGATAGACGGAAAGGTGGTGAGTTCAGTTTTGATGGGTCAAGATTAAGATGTCTCCAGATCATACATTTCTAACAGGCAACTAGCAGTGTGGTACTGAAGCTCAGGGAGAGAAGGGGACTGGATCTATCGATCTGGAAATCACCTACAAAGACATGATAATTAAATCTATGTGAGCTGATGAAGTTACCTAGGAAGAGTATGTAGACAGAAAAGAGGACCTAGGAAAGAAGTTTAGGAACAACAGAGGCATGATACAGATAATAAGTCAGCAAAGGAGACAGAAAACAAGAAATCAGACAGGCAAAAGGCAATCCAGAAGACAGGTAATGTCATGAAAACCCAGCAGAGGACAGAGTATTCAAGAGAGGGGTCAACAGCATCAAATGAAGCAGACAAGTCAAGAAGAAGTTAACACTGAGAATAGACCATCAAAATTAGGAATCAAGGGATCACTAGTAACTTTGGAGAGAGCCGTTTCAGTTGAGTGATGAGGTTAGAAGCCAGACAGCGAACAGGTGAGGAGTTTGAGAGAGGAAAGGAAATAATGGGAGTAAAACAGATATCACATTGAAACCCAAGATCAAGTGGTCCCCTCTCTTCTTGCAACAGCCCCAGGATCCCTGGGCTTGATGAGCAATGTTATTCCCTTTCCTTATGTTTGGCAGTGGTTTTTACATTCCATGTGTCAAGCAACCAGACTACATGTAAAATACATTGGCAGACACAGCTCCTGTCCTAAACAGCTCACATTCTACTACAGAAACACAGAAACAAAGGTACGAACATCCCAAAATTCCACAACAGACTCCCACCCAGACTTTCTTTGACTGGCTGATAAACAGAACAGAGGCACGTCTCCATGGGAAGGCACAAGGTTGTTCCTCACCCCCCAACCCCATCTTTCCTCAGACTGCTCAAGCAGCCACCTCAAAGCAGCCCAACCCTCAAATCCTCTAGCTTTTTCAAGAGAACTGAGATGAGGGAAATGGCAACCCAGTGAGTGTCTGTGGCCCCAGTTTGGTTTCTTTAGGATCTAAATGATAATAACAATAAAAAGACTGACTAACCTTCTATGATAAACAAACCTACCTTCACCAATAATCTGACCCCTGTTTAGGTCCTTCTTCCTTTTCTTCTTGCTTCTTTTTCCTCTTCCTTTCCTCGCTCCAGCACCAGACTCAGCTAAGGCCCCTTTCCATAGCTCTTCTGCTGTCACTGCAAAGAAACAGGTTTCACAAATTAGAGACCATGATCTCCTAGAAAGTTAAAAGGCTGAAAGAGATCTCAAGGTAATCAATTAATAAGCATTTATTCAGTACCTATTATGGGCAAGGCACCCTGCTAGAAGCTGAATAGACAAAGATAAAAGTAAAACAGTCCTGCCTTACTTTCTACTCTGGAAGAGGTACATATAAAGGCATGAAGAAAACATATACTCAAAACATAGATAACGTTGGATTTTATAAAGATCTTTAGCAAGAAGGGTTAAAAACTAAGGGTATTCTGTTGAATGCAGTTACCCAGAACTCTGAGTGCACCACCCCAGCTTTGCCCCTCCCCGGGCACAGCCGTCCAAGAACCCATCAAGGATCCCTGAGCAGCAAGAAGAGCTCCTCACACCAGGGGCTCCCTACCACACCACGCCTTCCCTTCCCCCGGGCTGTCTGATTGCTCACAGGCCTTGGATGACATGGGAGTCAATCCATTCCTTCTCATGGGATTGGACCTTCCCATCTGCCCTGCCTCTATGCCCTCCAAGTCCCCAGGCACTGTCACCATAACTACTTAAATAACCTAAGTATCTCTGAAGCTGGCCAGCCTCCCCACAGCTGCACCATTCATTAGCTGGCTCTTCCCTACATCAGTAGTCTCCCAATTAAAATATGAGGTCCCTGAGGGCGGGAACTGCTTTGCTTTTTCTGTGTTTATCTCCAGCACTTAGAGCAGTTATTTGGAACACAATAAATGCTTTCTCATTCATACTACCCAGCCAATGCTTTCCTGACATCTGATACCAGGGATTTTTGACACATTTATATAGGTTATTCTCTAAATTCCAGTCCTGATCTTCAAAGCAATCATAATCTTTTATAAGCTGTTCCCTTTACAACCACATTCTCTATTCCACTGTCCAAATGAGTAATACCAGAAAGTTCATATCATACTTGTCACATCTGTTTGAATATCAAGAGATCCTTTATATTAACAACATGCACAGGATGCCTACTGACTTCTGATCATCAAATCTTTACTCTTTCCTATTATGAATTCCTTGAGTCTAAGAACTTATAAGGACTCTCCTGAATGACAAGGTCCTTATCTTACCTTTTCTAAATTAACATGCTTCGCATAACAGAAGAGGAAAAAGAATATGTCTGGAACCAGACTGTTATCATTTAAAACTATTTCTTCTGTGTGACTTGTCATTCATTAAGTGCTTACAATGTCTACACTAGACTTGATAAGAATATGCTGTCCAATTCACACCACCTGATTATTCCAGAGACCAGAACATGAACCGGGTTACAGCTCAGATCAGCGACTGCCTAAATCCTAGAATACAATAAAGAGGGTGCAATGAGGCTTGCTTTTTAGGACAGACAGTGGGATTCAGTGGAAACAGCTCTGGATTTGGAGTCCAAGCCATCCAGGCTACTTATCCTAGCTCTACTTATAACCTGTGGGACTACAGGCAAGTCATTTAACCTCTCTGGATCTCAGTTTCCTCATTTGTAAAATGGAGGTGCCTTTGAAATCCTATGATCTATTACTTTTATCAATAAAGGTATTTTTAAATGCCAGGAAATTGGGCTCTTTGTGGTATATAGCTATGTATTTGGTGTATGACTGTGAAGGCTCAACAGCTCCAGCAGACTAATTCACAGCACAGCACAACTTTCAGTCCTTACCTTGGCTGCATAAATGCTATCTCAGATATGCCAGAGACTCTGAAGGAACCAGATATTCTGAAATAAAATGACCCAAATTCAAGAAAACTGTTTTTAAAATTTGTTTCCTCTCCTAACTATACAATCGCCATATAAACGATGAAGAGATATATACCTTGAAAAATCTGAGTCATCATAGTGAAGGCAATTAATGGGACTTCATAAGCTGCCCTTCAACTACACTGTTTTTTAACTTGAAATCAGAAGTCTAAGAATGGATTTATGATGTGTTAGCACCAGGAAGATAAATTTTTAAAAGGTATATATATTTGCTCACTATCTTTTTCCTGGGACTCCCTAATGCAGAGTGAGAGGCCTGTGGTGCCTCCCTTCCATTCCTTCTCAGCCCAGCAGACCCCTGCACACTTCGTCATGCACAAACCAACTTCTATCCATGCTGGCCAGGCCTATGTCCAGACTGGCCAAGCCTGCTAAGAGCCATACTCCCTGGACATGGTGTCCAGACTGATGGTCAGATGCCAACTGACAAAACCACTGGGGAAGAAATTACTCCTTAAATACCTTCTACAGTGAAACAGGCAAACATTGGCCTTGGGCAGTATTCCGATACCTGGAACCCCTTGTCACTGGGGAAGTTTATACTGGACCACCAGCTTTTCCACTCTAAGCAGCTCAACACCAGGAAGAAAGAGAACTATTGCTGGTGGGCACTGCACTATTGGCAAGGAAATCACCAACCCCCTTGTGGTCTGGACTCTGAGGCTTGATCAGAGCATGGATCTTCAAGGTTTCTTGTTTTTCTACAGCTTTGTTGGTGAGACCATTCCAACTTTGCTGAGGTCCACTGATTATGGCAAGAGGTCAAACCTGGAGATGCTCACTTGCCCAGTGCACCAGGTTTCTACAATTGTAGTTGCATCTTATAACTCCATTCTAACCACTCGCATCCCCCTCAGAGAACTGTGATTGTGCCTTCATGGTAGACTGTGAGGCCACTGATATCTATACCAGAAACCTGGACACTGAATGCCCAATCTACACTGATCACTTTATTGGCCAAACGGTGCCCTCTATCATTGCCTCTCTCCAGTTTTATGGTGCCCTTCATGTTGATCTGGCAGAATTTCAGACCAACTTGGTACACAATCCCCACATTACTTTCCTCTGTCCATGTATGCCCCAATATATATATCAAGCACACTTTGTGTGGGGAAAGGGATGTAGGAAAGAGAATTTTCTGAGGCACATGAAGAGAGCTGTCATAGAGGATTATGAGAAGGCTGGTGTAGCTAGCTGAAGGGGAAGATGAAGGTCAGAAATACAAATCTGCATGTTATCTTTTTCACGCTAGGTCTGTCTTTTTTGTACCATGAAAATGTCACAGAAGGTGGAGGCACAGTATATGATAAAGAACCCCTGAATGAGAAGATGGGAGTGTGAGAACTAGATCCCTCCATTTCAACTGTCTGACCTTAGATTAAGTCACTTCAATTCTCTAAAACTATTTTCTCTCAATGAGAGGGTCAAGTTCTCTGGTTTCAACTTTTTTTTAAGCTGCAGATTTTTTGAAAATCAACTTCTTCTATTCTACTTACCAAAATTAATGAAATTGAGAAATCTAATAGACACGACACTTTTAACTCCCACTCAAAGATTAACTTACAATTTACATATTTCATATTCAAATACAGGAAGCACATCCATGACACGCACTCTGAATTTGTTCTGACTGAAGTGTCTGTGGCAGATCATAACCACATCGACATGTGATACCCACTAACTGAAATTTTACCTCATGTGCAGATAGCATTAAATAATCACTATGCAGCATCAATTATCAAAACCACCTAGTATTGGTTAAAAGAAATAGAAAGCTGGTGCAGCAATGATCAGACCAGACAAGAGACAAACCAGAAATAAAAGAACACGATAACCTAGTGTTCAATAAACCAGAAAACACTTATGAAAGAACTCATTAGTTGATAAAAACTTCTGCAAAAATGGGAAAAGTGTGACAGAGATTAGGCTTAGACCAGCACCTTACATCTTATTCCATAACACATTCTCAATGGATATGTGACCTTAAAATTAAAGATAATATCATGATTTCAGACAAAGTTAAAGCTAAAATCTAAAGAGAAAAATAGGGAAACTATACTATATGTCAGTCATATTAATCAATGTCGTTTTAGACTATTTAAAATTACTAGATAGTATAAGGTTGAAATATTGTGGTGGCGTAGAATATGATGAGGTAGTGGACTTAGAAAAATACGGAAAGGCTTGGACTTATGAAGGAAGGTATTATCCAACCTCAGAGAAACTGAAAACAAACAAGTATAGTATGGTCTGACACAGATGCATATGAATGTATATGTCTATATATGTGTATGATTACAGATATATAAGTATATGTGTATGTATGTATGTATGTATATCTGTGTGTGTGTGTGTGCGCATGCGCACGCATACCTATCAACACTACCTGTAACCTTCACGGGGGGGAGGGAAAAAAATAAAGTAAAAAGTGCACAGCAGAGAAAAAAACTCAAAAGGAAGCAAAGCAAGATGGACATCTCTGAATACAATGTGTAGTATTTATTATATAGGTTTTCTTAAAATGGAAATCTATTGCTGTATATTTTGAATCCTCTCTTACATTCTGCTCTGTATATGGCAATGCTTTTTTTCTTTTCTTATTTTGTATTTAAGTTTTAGTATTCAAGTTCATGTTTTTTTTCTTTTCTTATTGTGTTTTTAAGTTTTAGTATTTAAGTTTAAAATAAATTAATTTTTTAAAAATATTAAAGATAGTACTACCAAAAAATTAGAGAAGCAGATCAAATACCTCTGAGACATAGGCAGGAAGTGTATTCTCAACCAAGCAAAGGATAGAGGTAGTAACAAAAGACAAAACATAGATAACTTTGATTACATAAGACTAAAGCTTCTACACAAACAAAATTAATGTACATAGTGTTAGAAGGGAAATGGTATAATGGGGGAAAACATTTTTATATCAAATTTCTCTGAAAAAGGTTTGATAGAAAAACTACAGAAACAATTAACAGATATACATATAAAACCAAAAGCCATTCTCCACAGATAAGTGGTCAAATGATATGAACAAACTGTTTCCAAAAGAAGAATTGAAAACTATTAAGAACCAAATGAAAGAATGCTCCAAAATGACTAATACAACCTCACACCCTGCAAACTGGCAAGGATTACAAAAGATAGACATAGACAATATTGGAGGGGTTGTGGGAAGATGAGCCCATTGGCGCATTGTTGGTGGAGCTGTGAATCAGTACAAACATTGTGGAAAACAATTTGGAAACACGCAAATAAAGTGATCCTTTGACCCAGAGGTTCCATGACTAGATTTAACTCCAAGGACGCCTTGGGTAAAAAGAAAGGTCCCATACACACCAAAATATTTATAACACTTTTTGTGGTAGCAAAGAACTGGAAACAAAGTAGATGCCTGTTGACTGGGGAATGGCTAAACAAACTATATAGTATATACTTTTGCTTAACTCTCTTGGGAGAAGATACTCTCTAGGAAGGTTTATTCAAGTATCTTGGGGAAAGTGTCTTATGTCAAAATAAACTATATAGATAATTTTTTTCAAATAAAGACATACAAAGGAGACCCATGCGATCAATCAGTAAAGTTACTGCCCTACAACTAAGGTTAGTTTTCCTAGCACCCACTATGGCAAGGCATTCTTTGTGCATTATTTTTGAAGTCAAAAAACCAACAGGTCTTTAGTTTCCTTAAATTTCCTACAATAACACAGTCCCAATCCCAATCACACATAAAGGCAATGAAAGACTTTCTAGTAATTTGTGACTAATACTATCTCTACCAAGAGATTAGCTTTAACACGGAAAAGGCCTCATGGCACTATGGGAACCAATTTACTTGGCCAGGTTATTTCCTCAGGTAATCATTTAAAAGTGAATCCAGAGTTCTAAAATAGGGCAGAAACCATCTACTAATATCTGGACAGCCCCAGAAAAGCCTGGGCTTATTCCTTGAGTGAGAATATCTCCCATTTTTCTTTGCTTCAATTTCATCCTAGCAGATCCCTGGTTCTTCACTGCCACTTCTAGACCATTACTCTGATAGCATCATTCAATAACTCCTGCACTGTCATATTCTTCCTTCCTACCAGCTGATCTAAAATACCAGGAAGCCCAAATTGTTAAGTCATGATTTTTTTTTCTTTAAAGCAAGACGTCTTATAGCTGGCCTAGCTGAGTGGGCTTTAGGGGTTCAGAACTAGAGAATCTGGTACACAGAGCTCAGGATGATCCAGACTGCTCAGTGCTTAAGGAAGCAGGAAAGGAAAACACCACCATCCACAGCAGAGATTCCCTCTTGGGCAGGACTTGTTTATGATCTGATTCCCAGGAATTCAAAAAACCAATATAAAAGACTCCTCACACCTCCCTGCAGCTCAAAATCACATCTTGACTTGTATTATCACTACAAGCATACTTCATTTTATTGTGCTTTACACTTCACAGATAATGTGTTTTTTACAAATTGAAAGTTTGTGGTAACCTTGAATTGAACAAGTCTACTGGCATCATTCTTCCAACAGCATGTGCTCACATTGTGTCTGTGTCACATTTTGGTAATTTTTACAATATTTCAAACTTTTTCCATTATTATTTTATCTGTTACGGTGATCTGCCGTCAATGATCTTTGATATTATTATTGTAATTGTTTTAGGGCACCAAGAACCACACCCACATAAGATAGCAAACTCAATTGATAGATGTTGTTCGTGTTCGGATTGCTCTGCAGACCATATGTTCTTTGGTCTATCTCCCTCTCTTCGGGCCTCTCTAATTCCTGAGACATAAAAATACTGAAATTAGGCCAGTTAATAACTCTACAATGGCCTCTATGTGTTCAAGTGAAAGGAAGAGTCAATTGATGAGGCAAATTTCATTGTTGTCTTAAGAAATTGCCACAGCCACCCTAACCTTCAGCAACCACGGTTCTGATCAGTCAGCAGCCATCAACATCAAGGCAAGACCCTTCACCAGCAAAAAAGATAATGATTCGACTGAGGCTCAGATGATAGTTAGCAACTGTTAGTAATATTCTTAATTAACGTACATACATTGTTTTTTTCAGACATAATACTGCTGCATACTTAATAGACTACGGTATAGTATAAACATAACTTTTATATGCACTGGAAAACCAAAAGATTCATGTGACTCTCTTTATTGCAATATTCACTTTACTGGAGTGGTCTGGAACTAAACCTGCAACATCCCTGAGGTATGCCTGGATGTGTGCATGTTTCATCCCTTTACTAGACTAAGGTCCATTAGGGCAGAGGCTGTCATTTTCCTTCATGTAGTACAGGGTTGAAAGTTCAAAAGCTCTGGAGTCAGGGTTCAAATCACGCCTCTGACCTTTACATCTGTATGAACTCGAACAAGTCCCTTACCCTCCCTAGGCCTTAGATTCCTGTTTAAAAAAAAAAAGTGTTAAGCTAGAAGGCTCTGAGGTCCCTTCAGCTCTAATTCTGATCCTGTGATCCTTAATTAAGTAGGCTTGTATTCACACAAAGCCCACTATATACCCAAATGTATCAGGGTTGTACATTTACCTCTCTAAGAATCACATTTTCCCTGATTTTAGCACAACACCTATTTTATAAGAAGGCCAATGCCCTGTATGCTTTAATTGCGGCTACTTTTGTTTGAAGGTGTTAGGACCACTGTCTCTAAGGTCTGGTCTTTTTTTCTGTTTTTAAATAACAGCTTTGAAACATGAATTTTCTAAAAAATTGACCAATTTAGGGTGACAGAAAAAGAAATGACATCATCACTGATTACTTCTTGTTCTGCATCTTAACAAACACGAATAATAACTCATATCAGTAAAGTGGCTGTCTACCATGTAATTGCCCTAGAATGAAGCACTAAAAATCCAAAACAGACAGGATGAGAAGGCACAGGATGACTAGTCTGCCCTCTGGTCTGAAGGCAGTCTACCAGCTAGAGAAGCTGACCAGAGCCCCAGCATTGCCCCGTTCCTATTGCTGACGCACATCAGCCTCTTTCCCAGTTCTTTGTTCTCTTGACCTGTTCATCATTACCCCCAAATAAATGTGTAATTTTTCATAACCCCCATAACTGGTAATAGCTCATCCAACATGACTGATTGAAGAGAAATTAACAACTACTTTCCAACAATTACTGCTCAACACCGTGTCCTTAGTTTAATGGTACAATAATGCAAAACTCCATTAGGGATATAGGTAAAATCAAATCCAAGGTAATGACATTCATTCCAAAACTCTTTCCACCTTTTCCTCTACTCGACGAATACCATTCATTGAAGGGTTAATGATAAATTAAGATTTCTCTTTTACCTTCCTATCCCAACTCTTCTTGCTTATTCTTTCACATTAACTATCATGTCATTTCCTGGTTTTTACAAAAACTGGAAATAGAACAAGGATATCCATCCTCCTATATGGCTCTAACAATGAAGAGAGGCATGGTAGATTTTGACTAAAACCTTGGTGCTCCAAATTTCTCCTCATACCTAAACCAATCTTACCCTTCTCTTAGGACCTGAGATTCTGCCTTTGCACTTCTAGAGAAAACAAATGATTTGAAACGACTGCACCAAAGCTGTGCTTAAGGTTTCCTAAGTTCCTCTCACATACTTTACCAACAACCTAGCCATGAGGACTTTGTCACCTGTCAATGCAGTCTTTGGCATTCAAATGGAACATGAGTATATGTTTAAACAAATAACCCCACAGTGAGGCAATTAAAGAAGACCTAAGACTAGAAAATATTACTTTTCTTACTCTTATTAAATTGTAAGTTTTTACATATTTATTATACTTACATTTGGTGAAGAAACTGTAGTGTTTATGTGGCTGTCCTATCAATTTGTTAGGAGCAGAAATACAACATTGAGTCTGGAGGGCATGGGCTAAGTTGGTATAATAATGATGACTCCTAGCTCCTCGTAGCGCAAAACTACCTGTAGAGAGAACAAAACCTTTATCAAGGCATTCTACAACAGTTAATATTGCCAATAAAAATGTTAAAACTGGATGACTTTAAAAAAAACCTATTGTCCACATAATTCTTTTGTATAGCCCCAGTGTAGCAGTATCCACAAATAATAGCTTAAATAATAATTTTCAGCAATGATGCTACTGTTACCAAGTATTTGTGAAAGATGTATGGAGAAGATAGGAAAATGAGTAGCAGGCTGTCAGCCTGAAGTTAGGCATCATTTTCTAAATCTGTGAGACTCTCATACCTCAAGTTATACTAAGGGACTCCCAGTTAAGATCCTGCACGTCCTACACAAACCCAGCTCTCACAAACACACTACAGTGAAGATATAAAAACAGCAGTGGGATGAATAAATATCAATAAATCCAAAGAAGAACTAGAGTAAGCATCTTTCTGCAGCCAGGACTACACAAAAAAGACAGCTAGAAGAAGCTTCCTGGCACTGGGAAAAGGGATTCTGCCAGAAAAGTCCCTGCCAGCCAAGGTAAACAAGTTAAGGAGCCTGCTGGCTCCAAAGATCCTCGAGGGCAACCTGAAGCCTGAGCATTCTGCACCTAGGCAAATAAAGGGCTAAGCTACTGCTCAGAGAAAGAAACTGATCTCTCTGACTGAGCAGGTAGGACCTGTGACAACAGCCCCCAAACGAGCAAGTCCCAGGGGAACCGAAGTCCACAGCACTCTGAACTGAGATACTCCAAATGGTACGGACCAAAACACTCTGGCTGGAAACCTGCCAGCTTTCTGAATACAATCATACCAGTGGAAGTGGAAGCCAATGCCAGGACTCCAGATAATAAAAATTAAGACCAAATAGGGCCTGATCATCTAAGGGAACAGAAGGGGCATAAATTATTCCTATTACAAAGTACCAAATCAAGGACTGAGATTGAAGACATAAAAAACCAGGATACACTGAACACTATAAAAAAATATTATAGGTGTAAAGACACCCAAGAGACAACCCTAGATAAATAGGAAAACTCCACAACAGCTACAAGGAGAACCACAAAGGAAAAAAAAGGAGTTGGTCATATATACTACAAGAGTACCCATAAGAATGAAGCAAGAGACAAAGAAAAAAAAAAAAAAAGAAACTGTAAATGAACTAAAAGATCTGAAGGAAAGAACTAGAAGAACAAACAGCTTAAAACAGAAAATGGAAAAATTCACGCAAATAACAGATTCCCTAAAAATCAGAATGGACCATATATGAATCAACAACTCTATAAGACCAAAAAAAAAAAAATATAAGGACAAAATCAAAAGTCTGAAAAAATAAAATCAGGCAATAAATATATATTAAGCACCTAATATGTGCCAAATACTTTGCTAAGTGCTGGGGATATTAAAAGAGGTAAAAGATAGCCCCTGCCCTCAAGGAGATCACAATCTAATGTGAGACAATCTAACGTGAAAACATAAAAACAAATATATACAAAGCAAGCAATACATAGGATAAATAGGAAATAATTAACAGAGGGAAGACACTAGAATTGAGAGGGGTTTGGGAAGGCTCCCAGTAAAACAGAGGATTTTAGTTGGGACTTAAAGAAAGCCAGAGAGATCAGTAGTGACAGCAGAGTAGGGAAAGCACGCCAGGTATGGAAAAAGTCAGAGAAAATTCCTGGATCAAATAAAGATGGAGTGTCTTGTTCATGGAACAGCCAGAAGGCCGGTGTCATTGGATCAAAGAGTACTTGTTAGGGAAAAAGGTTTAAGAAGGCTGGAAAGGTAGGAGGGGGCTGGATTATTAAGGGCTCTGAATGCCAAACAGCATTTTGTATTTGTTCCTAGAGGAAATAAGAAGCCACTGGAGTTTATTGAACAGGGGGTGACATGATCAGATCTGCATTTTAAGATCACTTCAGTGGCTGAACGGAAGATGAATTAAAATGGTGAGAGACTTGAGGCAGGCAGACCCACCAGCAGGTTACTGCAGTAGTCCAGATGTGAAGTGATGAGGGGCCTGAACCAGAGTGGTGGCAGTTTCAGTAGAAATGCTAGAAACATTGGTGGTTGTCCTTCATTCTAGAAGAGGACCAAAATGACAACACTACATTCGAGTCAAGTGTGTCCTACTGTGGCTGATCAGACTCATAAGAGTTTGGAAGGCTCCACCACAGGTCGGGCACAAATAATCCTTGTGAACACTTGGAGCAGATTCTCTAAATTTGCACGTCTCATGTTTCTTTCAAGCTGCTGCAATTCTGCTTTGCTCATAAAGCATACTGCCTTCTTTGATGAGGGCACATCGTGCTGGGCTGTCTTGTGCCAGTGTCTCCCATGTCACACAATCAATTCCAAAGTTCTTCTAAGGCTAAAAACACAAGGGCCATGTGAACAGAGGCAATGTTCCCCTACGCTCTGTACTGGTCAATTCATACCTGGAGTACTGTCATCTTAGTTCTGTGCACCACATTTCATGAGGGTCACTGACAAACTAGACAGGCTAGAGAGGGCAACGTTGGTGATGAACAATCTGAAAACTTTAACACATTAAGAAAGATTTAGGAATCTAGGAACCTCAAATATGTAAAAGAACAGGAGACATGCTCAATATCTTTCAAACACTTGAAGGAATATCATGTGATACTGGAGACTTATGAGGCTTAATTTGACTTACAAGATCCCCTCCAATACAAAGAATCTATCATATCAATAGTTAAGACCAAAATAACATGTCTGTTCACAAATAGTGATGACATTTCTTTTATTATAAAACACTTTTCATTTATTCACAACTTTAAAAGAAGAGAACAAAAATCCTCAAAGCTCAGAATAAAAATACTGAATCTCTCACCATTGCAAGGAGGAACCCTTGATGTAAAACTGGAAATTGCAGGTAAGGTACTTGGATAAAGTTGCCTTGTCCACAAAGAGCCTGAAAAAGAAATAGAAAAAAATTTAGTTAAAGTTCTTAGTCTCCTTTTCTAGATCATCATCCATATCCCAAAACCTCTAAATGTGGGTATCCCCCAAGGCTCTGTTATGGGCCCTCTTCTCATTCTAAACTTTCTAATCTCCATATTGTGCTCCAGTTCTTCCCAAACCCCAATCCCAGCAATGCATTGGACATTTATAACTGGATATCCTGTAGACACTGGAAATTCAACATGTCCAAAACAGAACTCATTATCTTTTCCCCAAAATCTATCCCCCTTTTGAACTTAACCATTTCAAATGAGAGCATCACCTTCTTTCCCAACCAGGTTCATAACCTTAGAGGTCTTCCTTAACTCCTCACTTTCCTTCAGCCCACACAGCCAATCAGTTGCCCAAATACTCCACTGTAGCTTACATCTATCCCTTTCCCTCTGCTCACATGGCCAGCAGTTTATTTAAGATTCTCATCACATCTTACCTGGACTATTCCAATGGCCTCCTACTTTGCCTCCTTGTCTCAAGTATCTGCCCTCTCCAACCTATCCTTATAGAGCGGCCAATGTGACAGTCTTATAGCACAAGGCTGATCATGTTACTCCCCTATTCCATAAACCTCAGTGCTTCTCTACTGCTTATAGGATCAATTATAAACTCCCCATTTTGGCATCTGAAGCCCTTCACAACCTGGCTCAAACATATATTTATAGACTTATACTACTATCCTCTACACACTTTTTGGTCCAGCTGACCAAGCCTTCTTGCTGATAATTTCATGTAAGCCTCCATCACTCATTTCCAGGCCTTTGTAGTGGCTGCTGTAATCCCTGGTTGTTTTCAAGGTTCAACTTAATTGCCACCTTTTGTCTCCACCAGTTGACAATGCCTCTCCCAAAAAATCATTGTATATATTTTGGATTTTTTTTTTGAAATCTGGACCTGTGATTTCATTATTAGGAAGCTCCCAGGTGAGGAAACTTCCCCCACCAGTGCAGATCAGCATCTTCTCTGAAACTGTCTTCAGAAAGTCACCTTTGTCACTAATAGGCTAATGTCTTGCCCAGGTCACACTGTCAGCATGTGTCAAAAGAACCTGCCAAGGGTCTTTCTGACTCCATGGGGAGCTCTCTATCCACTATCCTATGCTGTCTCTCCTTTATTTTGAAAAATACTGAATATATTTACATATACATATGTTATCAGTCCCAATAGAAATTAAGTTCCTTGAGGGAATCGGATTTCACTTTTGTCTTTCTATCTCCAGAACCTAGAACACAATAGGGATTTAATAAATATTTATTAAATGTCTGACAAGTGCTCTTTTACTATATTCCTAATTATCTTGGGTAGCAACTTTATAACAGTCATTTTTCCAGTTCAAAAGATTTTCAGTTCAAAAGATTTGTCAAAGAAAAGAGAAACAAATGAAGAATGAATAATTTTTTGTCCTTCCCAGATAACTCTTTATCTTCTTTTCCTCAGTATAGTTTGGCTTTTTTAAAGAAACTTTTCTGCCATCCTTTGCTTTCTTTGCCATCTCCAGCTCATTAAGAACAGTAGCACTTACAGGATTGTGCCATTTGTTATCTGTCCTTGCTTCCAGTTTGCATGTTATCTTTTTTTCAATTAACCAATGAGTCTCATTTACCCACCTCAATCTTCTTCTAGTCCTCATCAAAACTGTTTTCTTTACTTCCATATCTAACACGTTGTTTTCCCCTATAGAACTTAGTTTATGGTATCCTACCTGTTATTTCTCTGAAGCCTCAGAAATGTGCTCTCCTGAAATCTAAGGTATATGTCAAACTATGCCCAGCTGTCCTCTCCCCCACTTTATTACAAATTCTAAGATGAAAAGGTCATTTCCCTCAAGGTTCCTATTACTTCCATCCCAGCAATCAGTTTCTCCATATTGGTCAGTCAGATTGAGAATAGAAATTTTCATCCCTGGTTCCTCTACCTTTTGGAGGAGGAAATAATCATTAATCAATTAATCAAAAAATGTGTATGAAGTTCCTATGTTTCAGACACTGTGTACTTGATAAGGATGCAAACACAGAAATGAAACAGTTCCTGCTCTCAAGAATGCCAGGTAAGGCATGTACAGTACATATATAAGTATATACAAAATAAATACAAGGCAATGTTGGGGATGGAAGGGGAATGGAGGGCACTAGGGAGATAAGAAAGGCTACCTTCCAAATATGCCACCTGAGTTGAACTTCAAAGGAAATTTTAAAGAGGAAGGTGAAGAGTGAGATCATTCCAGGCATGGTGGACAACCTGTACAAAGATGGGAAATGGAATGTTACGTGGGAGGAACAGCAAAGCCAATTAGGCTGGACCAAAAAATTCAACTTCAGTCAGAGGACCTCAGTTCAAATTCCCTTTCTACTACTTACCATCTACACAAAACGTAATTCAGACATTTACCTCCTTTAGGCCTCAGTTTCCTTATTTGTAAAATGAGGGAGTTAGCTTAAATAACCTCTAGGTCCTTCCCGCTCTAAATCTATGATCCTATTAAGTATAAGCAAGGTCAAACTACTTAAGTACAGCTTCATGAAATCCAACTTTATCAGGAAAAACAGCAGAACAATGTTTTTCCAAACCAACTGTTTCAAAAATCTATCACACTGTTTTTGAAATCTATCACACAATGTGAAGGAGAAACGGAATGTTTTGTTTATTCCCTCTTCCATCCACATCCACCTGAAAATTGCAGAAACATAATCCTCTCCATCAGAGTTTGATAACATGTATGTCAAATACTGGACAAGGGCTGCACTGTGGTAAGGTACAAGACCCCTCCCTACTGCCATCCTCTCTTAAACAGTAAAGGACTGCTTCCCTGCCCACCCCACCCCACCCCACACCACTGCTACCATGAAGCACAGAATAGGGGCTGAAACCCTTCAAATTACTTTTCAAAGAGGGTTGATCCCTGCCCTAAATAATAAGTTGACAAATTTGCTAAAAATACTAAAAATCATTGATATTATAACCAATAGTTTTACTTATTCTTCTGAGGTTTAGGTTTGCTACTTTTGATAAAAGCAGCTAACAAGATAATCACTTCAAAGAGTCAGTGGGAAAGTCCAAGAAATTGAAGCAATAACTAGGAAGTTAGATATGAATGGGCAAAACAATGAGACCTTGCTTTTTTAGATGGCCTTTCAAAAACAGGAAAGGATAATTTGCACTAGGTACAGCAATAGTTAGTGCCATGGGCCTGGAGTAGGGAAGACCTAAATTTCAAACTAGCCTCAGCCACTTCCAAGCTGTGTAACTCTGGGCAAGTCACTTTCACCTGTTTGCCTCAATTTCTCACCTGTAAAATGGGGCTAATAATAGCACCTACCTCCCAGGGTTGTTGTGAGGATCAAATGAGATAATTGTAAATGAGATCATTTTATATGTAATAATAAAATGAAATTAATTGTAAAACGCTTGGCACAGACAGTAAGCGCTATATATATGTTAGCTGTCATTATCATTATCCAAAATAAAAGGGCAATAATGATTCTTAATTCAGAAATGATAAAATATGGCAGATGGAGGCTCAGGGCTTGGAATGAGAAAGACCTGAGTTTGAATCCCACCTCGGACAAGCTGAGTGATGCTGGGTGTTTTTGCTTAATGTCTCTGAGTCTGGGTCTTCTCATTTGCAGAGAGGGACTAAGAGCCTGCTTACTAGGTTGCCGTGAAAATCAAATGGGATACCACACGTAAAGCTCTTAGGCCATGTGGACACGAGTTATTGTTACTGTCACTACTATTATTATCACATAGCTCCTCCAACGTTAACAGCACCGCGCCCGGCCCCCATTACCCAGCCCAAGGTCACCCCGCCCGCCCCGGGCAGGGCTCTGCGTCCCGAAGGGTCCAGAGAGCGAGCGGGCTGGGAGCAGCAAGGCCCGGGAAAGGCTGGACAAGGCTCAGGCTGGCCGGCGTCCTTGGGACGGCCCCGGTTCTGCCACCGGACGCAATGCGCTAAGCAGCGCCTTGCACTCCCCCCCCCCCGGAAGGCAGCCCTCCCTCAGGCCGGGGTCTCTCTCCCTGCTCTCCGGACCCTCAGCACGTGCCCCAGCCTCGCCCTCGCCAAGCGCCCAACCTCAACGGGCCTCACCTGACCCCAAAGCCCAGGACACTGGAAGCCGGCTCCCTGCACGCACAACCGCGGCCGCCGCCATCTCTGCACTGCAGGGTTAGCGCCTCGGGCTCCGCCCCCTAGCAGACTACACACTGCCTGGGAGAAAAGCTCTCTCTGGGGAGGCGCGGGGGGCGGGGAGAGAAGGACCCTCGCTCATTCCCCGGGCCCTCGCCATCAAGCAGTACCTCCCTCCCCCCCCTCCCACACCGGGACTCTTGGGCCCGTCACTGGAAGCGTCGCAGTCTGGCTCATATCAGGGCGACTATAAGTAAAATGCTCAGATTAGGACCCCGCGCCTGGAGCCCGGAGGAGGACCGATATAACTGACTAGAAGGAACAGACCGGAAGTGGCGCCGAGCACCTGGGTCGGGGCTGCGCGGTCCTTTTGAAATCTAGTGTCTCGAAGACTGCGGAGAGCCACGTGGGTAGTGATCCTGGCGGTGTTTTATTCTGCTATGTGAGAGCTCCTCCAGTTGTCAGTGATAATAATTATAATTGTTAATGAAATATAAATTATGATGGTTGTGATGATAATAAATTATGATAGTAATAATGATAATATGTAAAGTAGTATCTTTTCTGTGTCATGGACCACTTTGACAGTCTGGTGACCCCAACTCAGAATAGTAATTCATAATACAAAATACATAGAATTACAAAAGAAACTAAAGGTTAGTGAAAATAAAGCTGTATTTTTTTTCCAGCTAAGTTCACAGATTACTCCCAAATCTATCCACAGCCTCTCAGCAGGGATCAGTGGATCCTAATTTAAGAATTCTTGATATAGAACTTTAAAGTGTGCAGTTTACAGATGCAAATTATATTTTGGAGCCCTTCTAAGAGGCTTGAACTGAGAGCCAGAGTGGAGACAGTAGCTGTCTACAGGAGGACAGTGTGGGATTCTGTGGTGAAGTACCCAGAGTGACACTAACCGTGATGGGGTGGGGTGGGTAACACCTAGACACCAAGCAAGCAGAGACTATAGCAAGATTCCAAGAAGGAAGGAAGGAAAGGAGTCAAATATAGTGGCAAAAAGGAGAGACCTCAAGTTGCTATCAGGAGCAGCTATTAACAGGTAAACCCTAAGAACCTGACAGATGTAGAGAACTAAACCTGTGACTACCCCATCCCACTTCCTATCAAAACTTGGTCCCTTTTTGGGTTAGGTTGGTGGGCAAGTTTGTTTGTTCTTTATCTCTTTTGTTCAATTTGTACCTTAATGGTCAATAGAAATGCTAAGCTTTGTCTGTATTTTGTTGTTGTTCATCCTTCATTTTGAAGAGGACTAATAATATCACAGGGTGATTTCTTGACTTTCGCATGAATTGAATTTAAGTGAGGCAAAGTTGCACAAAGTTGTCAGCCTCACTCTCCCCTCTAGAGTCACTCAGTCCAGTGGCAAGACAAAAGTCAAGACAACTATCAGTGGCCCAGGATATAGTGGATGACCTTGTTATCTTCAATGTCTGACCAAAATCTAAGCACTCCACAGTGCCTGCTTCAGCTGCCTTCCTGTTCTTTGGAACAAATTGTCCACCAGGGGAAGTCTTCACATGCTTGGGGTAGAAACCCTAACTCACCAACAGATTTGAGGCTAGTTGGTTACCATCAACCTGGTTTAGCCTGTCTGTCAAGAAGGTTTTACCAGTGTATGGCTGCTGCACATGCTACAGCTTCTTGGAGCCACAAGTGATAGTTGAGTGTGAGGTGGACACCAAAGATGGATGAGCAGCCCTGAAAAGGGCTTGGCAAGCCACCCTCACACCAGAGGTGCTAGTCATCTCTGAACACCCCATACACCCCTGTGTTTTATATGATACTTAAAAATAAAGAGAAGATAATTGTTCCTTGTATTCAAAAAACATGATGTTTGGTTCAGGCTGAACCTGGGGGCTTGGAGCTAATTTAGGACCTTTGGGCAAAAGGAGAGGGGAGAAGAAACTTAAGCCTGTCAATAAATTTGGAATCTAGACACTCTTAGAAACAAAATCTCAAGCTAGTGAGAACAGCAGTATTCAAGGAACTAAAATGAAGGGGGTAGAGGGAGAGTATTTTCCCTTTGTTAATGGCAGGTGCCATATTTTGTGCTGACACAAATTTAAAATTAAATCATAACTTCCACAATAAGCTAGTTGTCTGGGCATGCTCAGATAGGTCTGTAGGTTCGGTGGACGAAAAATAATAGCTTAGCCTGCTTAGCTCCTCAAAGCCACCTACTGCTTACACAGATTATCTCATTTGATCCTCCCAACAGTCCTATGAGGTGTCCATTTTACTGATGAACAATTTGAAGCTCAAAAAGCTTAAGTGACATGCTTATGTTCAATTCAAATCAATAAAAATTTATTAAATGGTTGCCATGTGCAAGGCACTGTGGAAGGCACTGAGTATACAATAAATTAAATAGTGTTTGCCTTTGAGGAGCTTATGTTCTTTTGGGAAGTAATGTGTATGTATACAAATAACTTGAGCAGGGAGGCATTTGCAGCTGAAGGAAATCAGAAAAAAAAAACCCATATAGAATGCGGTACTTGAGCTGAGCCTTAAAGAAAGCTAAGGAAGCTAAGGAGTGGAAGTAAAGGTCTACCCTTATATTCCAGCCTATGCAAAAGTACAGAGACAGCAAATGAAATGTCCTGGTGTCCTTTGGCTGGACCAAAGAACGTGAAGAGGCGTAATATGTAATAAATCCAGAAAGGTACACCAGAGTCCAGTTGAAAAGGACTTTAAACACTGACGGAGGAGCTTGTTTTTTATCCTAGGGGCAACAAGAAACCACTGAAGTTTATTGGACAGAGAATTGACTTGGTCAGACCTTGGTCAGAGGAAAATCACGGACAACTCTGTGGAAGATGAATTGGAAAGGGTAGGGCTGTGATTCAGATTATCCATTAGAAGCCTATTGCAAGAGTCCAGGCAAGAGGAGATAAGGAAGTGAACAAGGGTGGTAGCACTATGAGTAAAGAGAAGGGGACAATTTTGAGAATTATGACGGAGGTTAAATTATTAAATCAACAAGATTTAATATCCAATTGGCTTATTGGGGTGGGAAGATTGAGGAATCGAGTGTAGTACTAATAGGAGAAATGATTATTTCTCGTATTTAATAACTTTCTCCTTTTATATTTATATTTCCTCATCCAAAAATCCACCAGTGTAGGAAATCTCTCTCAAAGATGTACTCAGGCCAAGATCTAATCAAAGACAGTAAAAGAAATTCTAAGTTTGGGCTAATGGGTGCATTCCTGCTCAATATGTTTGCTCAAACAGGTCTGGGAAGTGTTGATTCTCCCTTTTGTCAAATAGGTGATATGGAAATTGATGTGTCTTTGATCAAGATTTGGGTGACCCAAGTCATGCACCCCAAGACCTCACTGTAATATAGCCTACCTTGTCATTGTAATATTCATTCTCTAACTGATTGTTGTCAGCAAAAGTTGATTGCCACCCTTGGGAGCACCTCCTCTTCTAACGACATATAAACTCATGCCCATCACCATGAGGGGTCTTTGGTCTAAGAGAGACAGACAAATAATCATCCTTTTATTAAAATACTGGCATCATTAAGAAAATGAATTACCCAGAAATTATGTTTCTCAAACCTTTTTAAATGCCACACTAAGTTGTGAACCTGAAAGATTGGAAGGACGTTGATGACCTTGAAAGAAATAGGGCAAAAAAGAAGAAAACAGGAAAGAGAAGTGGGGTCAGGGGAGAAAAACAAATGAGTGTGAGATGACCATGGGATATCTAGTTCAAAATGTACAACAGACAATTGGTGATGTTAGACTAAAGCTCATGAGTCTCTCCAGGGCTGGATATATAGATCTGGGAATCATCTACTTGGTGATAATCATTGAACTCATGAGAGCTAATGAGGTCACCAAGCGAAAGAGATGAAAAAGGGTCCTAGGACAGAGCTTTGGGGGCATTGAGATGGGGATAGAATATGGATGCTAATCAGCAAAGCAGACCAAGAAGGAATCATCAGATAGGAAATGAACCAAGAGAGAGCAGTGTCATGAAAACTCAGTGAGGAGAAAGAATCCAGGAGAGTAACTGTAACAGTAAGGTGTTACTGGCTGTGCAGCACTTATAATTTGTTTCACAAGTTTGGATCTGTACCCACAAAGACACTTCACATTTTTCCTAGCTTATAAATGATTTAATAATGATAATAATCATAAATATACATGCACATAAATGTGATTACATATGATTATACAATCTTAGAAACAAAGACTATTAACAGAAAGAGCCATAAAGAAGAAGAAATACATCACCAATCCAAGGAAGCACCAACTCCTGAACATCTGGCTGGGACAGTCCTGTATCATGGCCGTCATGAGACAGGCTGCCAAATTCCCAAGTACCTAAATGAAATCCTGGAGTTCACTTCAAACTGAAGACTGCTTGAGAAGTCCAATGAAAAACTAAGGTAAGTGACTTTTTCCATCTCATTACAAAAATTTAGCCAGCAACCTCCAGGCGAGAGGAAAGAGCCCTATCCTCGCAACAAAGTCAGTGCTACCTCTGAGACAGGACATGTGCAGCCTACAGGGATTTCTGTCTGGGGGAAGCAAGAAGAGAGGGCTCCCCTGAGAAAGACCTTCAAGGTTGATTAGCAGGGCACAGGGCAGGGGTGGAGGGGATCCTTAGAAGCCCTAGTGAGCAGCCATAGACAGTGAGCCAGAATGGTGACACAGTGCTCAGACCTGGACAGCCCAGGACCACAATCTCTGAAGTCCCTAACACTTTGTCCTGGGGACCAGGAGCCCTCTGATGATCCAGTGGCCTAAATCTTAAAGATAAGGGGTATTGGGAAGGTAGAGGGCCTAACCTCAGCGAGTGGAGGTCACTACAATAACTGAGGGAATTTAAGGTGAGACCAAGCAGGGCTGACTGGCCCTGGCCTAAAACCCAATTCAGAAGCTAAAGCTGGAAAGATGAGTAAGCCAAAGAAAACACCCAAAAGCATAAAAAAAAAAAAGTATCACAAATCTAACTCTGTAACAACTGTAAGCAGAGACTCAAAGGGAAAAAATGGATTTTCTACAAGGATT